AATTTAGGTAGCATTCCTCATCTTATATATAAAGCTGAATGTCTGTTTGTATGTCTGCATGTCTGTTTGTCTGTATGTATGTCTGTAGGTATGTTCCGAATAGAAAATTCCATTTCTGAACCGACCGATCCGGACCAAACTTTGCACACATACACTTCGAGGCCGAGCGGGTGTCATAGGCTACTTTTCGTCAACGATTGATACCGACTTTATTGATTTTTCAAAAAATTCGAGCTACGGGGCTGGGAGTTGGCACAGGGGGTAAGTGAGCATGCTGATTACGAATGTATTAGGTTGCTGCAAAAGTAATGGCCGATTTGCGAATTCTCACTTTGACGTGCTATAACTTTTGGAAGCCTTCTGCAATGCAGCGCACATTTATTTATACTCATATCACGAACGGGCAGAAAAATATGGATTGAAAAATAAAAAAGGTTCTTTTGCTAGAACCTTGTCTTTGACAATTCATATCTTCCTTCAAAGTTTGTTAGTATAAATGTTAAGTAGCCTATCTTGTAGCCGCAAGCCAGTAGTACAAAACGCAACAAAAAGAACTGGGAAAAAAGGTCGGCGAGAAATAAAATTAAAGTTTGAAATTTCTCAGTTTTTTCAACACTTTTTCCAGTGTGCCTCAAAGTTCCGGATATAGAATTTTCTGATTTCTTACGTAATAAACGGTGGATGTTTTTGCAAAAACTGCTGATAGGATGTTAGAATGTCCTAGCCCTACGCTTACAGAATTGAGGAAAGCTTCGGCGTTTGACTTTTTCAAAAGAAAATTATGGGTCATACAATGACCGCAACAGCTACCCTTGTTTAGGCGCCGATATCTCAGTCTGGATAGCCTCAAAGAACACAGTCAAGTATGCATAATGTAGACAATTTCTATTACATACTATAGCTAAATTTTCGAAGCAATCCCATTGATACGCGCTTGAATTCTGGCCGGAAAAGTGAAAGTAATGAAATTCTGAATTTGGATGCAGTTATTTGAAGCTCAATGACTTTATAACAGATGAGGATGAGAGCACGTTTCAAGCACCGTAAGATAGAGCATGGAAACAGCTTCGCGATGGTATACTACATCCATTGTAAAGAAGAAGTATTGATGGAAAAAAGTTGCCCTGAAAAAAGGTTTGGAAAATCGGCCATTACTTTTGCACCAACCTAATATCATTGACAGGGCCGGGCGGAGCCGGGTTTGCCAGCTAGTAAGCTTATACTATAGACGCATTCTTGCGGATATCCTCTTAGCCCATAAAATCTTTAGACAAGAGGTACGTCTAAATTTTTCAGATTTTTGGACTCTAAGTTCTTCTCAGAGTCATAGCCTACTTTGAATGTCTCGACGAGGTCTGGTGGTTAACGTAAGATGGTGCTGCAACAATCCTTTGCGAGCCGTGTGTTTATCTTAAGCAACGGTCTTCCCGTTGAAGTTTTCTGCCAGTGCCATACAGAAAAGTTCAGAGAATTCTTGCTCGATAATGATCTTCTGAGTATGCTGAATCTAGAAGATGTATCATAACTTGAAGCCGACGCTAAGTCAACCTCTTATTGCATTTTGTCTTACTTTACTCTTTCTAGTTAGCTCGCCTTGGAGATATTAGTGCACGCATAGCTTACCCAAAGTATTATTCTGCTGGTAAGCCTCCCAACAGAGTTTCAGTCAGTTTACCTGTCTAGCGTGAGATTCCAGGCATGCCATTTGGTGTTGGGCACACCATAGCATACTCGGCTGACTGGTGTGGAAATTATTATTAATGCTTTCGGCACTAGTTTTAGCTTGCTACTTATGGAAGAAACCACTTGAGGGTTTATTTTCGCTAAGTAATATGGTGGATTTCGTATCTTCGTTATGTTCTATGTTACTAACATGGGTTTAGTGAGTTTGTGGAGTACTAACCCTCCGATTTCTGTCTGTCATAGCACACATTGTGCATCAAGATAAAAGATAAAAAATTTGAAATCAGCATAATCACTAATATCAACTAAAATGGAAACCAGAAGTTCAACGCAAGTCTTATGTGAGAACTATTCAATTCGTTTGAAAGCATAGATCGCTTGCAGAATAGCCGCACTAATAATTCAATCTCCAGCGACTCCGCGTCTTCCTTACTTTTTTGAAAGTGAAAGTAAAAATTTTTTGAGATCATGAACGCAGAAAGGGCACGTCAGGCTTTTATGGCAGCAAAAACAGAAGTAGCAGATGCGAAGTGCTGTAAACAGAAAATAAACGATTGAAGAAAATGCTTGAGAGTCATTTTAATTTAGGCTAAGACTGCCTAAATTAAAATGACTTTTGCAACCACGGCACAGGCGGGATCACCTCATCCGGGATTTTCAATGTTTGTGAAGTGACACACGGCGCAGCGAGGTGAATAGACCGATGAGGTCTACTATATATCATCAGATTAGTACATTTTTAATTCAAAAACTAGTTCCTAAGTGAATCTAATACAGGGCTCTCATTGTCTCATTGCTCAAACCATCGATACTTTCCCGCTATCCGGATCCATTTTTTCAGGTTGTTCCATGAGATACGTGCATTAGCCTAGAAAATTTTTTCATGAATTCTGCGAGGATGGTCTTCCTGCCACGTGTCGAAATAAAAATTAATACGTTCAGGCCAATTTTGACATGTTTTTTTTTTCAAAATATTAGGTTGGTCCGAAAGTTTTGTCAGTTTTTTCAATCCATGGCAAACCCGCTAGAATAAAGATAAAGAAACGCTTTAAAATGTATCCAATGCAGAATTTCTTCCTCTTTACAGTGTTAAACCTGCATTAGGTTTCGTAGAGAGAGTGATGAGATATTTGCTGGAGATTACAACCACTCATTTCTACCATGTCCAACTTTCGCTAGTTTTCAAAATTTTTGTATGAGACTTTCGGAGGAGCCTTAAAATACACCAGATAGGGCAAACCTTTTGCCAACTTATGCAATTTTTTTCTTTTTTTTCAGCTGCTTTTTCAGATTTTCGCTAAATAATTTTCTAAAAGTCTAGTGTTTTGGAAATATCGCATAACCTGTTATTGCACCAAACACTGCAAAACCTACAGAAAACTGGGGTTTGAACACACGATCATTGCTAGCGCTACCATTACAAAGCAAATGAGCGATTTTCGCTTCAAATTATGAAGATTTTGAAACATAGGTTACGTCAGTGCGCACTCCTGAAATTGAGAAATGCTGCGATTTTCCCCACAAATTTCGGAAAAAAAGACAGGTGTTGGAAAGGGGAGAAAAATTTGCACCGAATTGTGGCCGAACTTTTTAACATTTTATGTTCTACGAGGTTAAATAGGCTGAATGTAAAACTTGTTCGCTTCAAAAAATAAATCGTAGAAATTCTGAAAGACAAGCCGTAGGGCTACAAAAAATTGCTTCTATGGCAAAAGGTTTGCGCTATCCGGTGGTTATTAGTGCTGCTCTGAAAGTCTCATACAAAAATTTTGAAAATTAGCGAAAGTTGGACATGGTAGAAACGAGTGGTTGTAATTGCCAGCGAATATCTCGTCAGTCTCGCAACGAAACACAATGAGAGTTTAGCAGCTGTAAAGAGGAAGAAATTCTACATTGGACACATTTTGAAGCATTTGTTTATCTTCATTCTAGCATGTTTGCCGATGGATTGAAAAAACTGACAAAATTTTCGGACCCACCTAATATTTCCGGTGAGGCACGACAGCATTCACAATGGCTCGAAAGCTTTTTGGTGGTTTTATTAGAGCAAAACTGTTTCAAACGACTATTGAAACGTCTTAGTAGCTTCAACAATAATTTCAAGAAGAAATTCTTTCTTCAATTTTTCTCGTCATGCGAATTTATTTAAGAAAGAATATAAAAATACGGCTTCAAGTACCTAACTGCCGCTTGCTTCATTGCTTAGATGATGAAGCAATTGACAACTTCTCTGTTTTGAGCAAGTCTAATATGTTTATCAAACACAGAATGTTATTTTTATAGCTATTTAAAGCTATTGTATAAAACTTTTGACCAAAATAGAGTCATTATTGAACAGAAAACAGATTTAACCTACATTGGTATGGCTAAACAACTCCTCGTAGAATCTGTTGAACATGTAGAAAACTTAACAATTTTTTTGGCACCTGCGAGGTTGACTTTCCATCCTGTGAAGTTTTTACCAAACTTGGTAGAAGGATAGAAGAAATATCTTCTTTAGAAGAATGGGTCCGGATAATGGAAAAGTATCAAAGCATCTACTAAGTTGGCGGATGATTACTGTTACACTTTTATTTTTATTTCTTGAAGATCTAAGAAACTTTCAAAATTCTTATGTTCAAGTAGAGTTGACAGGGTGCAAACTTCTACCTACCGGTACTGTCAAATCCGTAGTCCGTGTGCAAAACACTCACCTTATTGGCGGGAATACGTTTTATAAACTTTGTCAACAGGTTGGCATTTTTCCAGGTGATCAGGGAGAGAAGGGGCGATGTGGTATACGGGCAGGGTATGCTTCGTAGTTCTCAAGGAATATAGGGGAATGGCCAAACATGTCCGCACAAATTCACATGAGCTACATGGTGCTCCATGTCAGCGCACATTCATTTTAAGATGAAGATCAATTTAGAAAAATTCACAAAAATTATTTTCAACGTCTCCGTAACAAATCCTACACGATGCATCCAGAAAGAAAAATTTTCGAGAAATTTGTTTTTCACTCTTCGTTTTCGACACGCTAGCGGCACCAGTGCTGTGCTGAAAGAGGCAGTGCAAAAATAGGTTTTAATTTTGAGTGTGCTCATAAAGTAGTCGTCAACATGCTAGGAATTTGCGCATCTGCGGCATCTGTGATATTTTTTTTGTACGCCTTGTCGTGCTCTACATATGGAGCCAATCTGAAGGTCCTAGAAAGCTTCCGCAATTTTTCAGATTTTCACAAATAAATAATTTCTCAGATTTCCACATACAGTGATTGTGACAGAAATTATCCGGCAAGCCGTATAAGGGACAAACCGAGTGCCTTCAAAATCACTTACGTTTGCGATATCGTTGATCAAGCAGGCTATGAAAAATCCATCCAGGTGCGCAGATTTCTTGGATAACACATCCTGAAATTTCTCAGCACACAAATGTTTTTACGATCTCACGGATGGATAGACACCAATCATATTCGCAATCCTAGCTTCCAGTCGAACACTCTGCATACAAAACGGTTTTCAATTTGCAGAACAGACTGACATATAGTGTTAAAGACAAATGTGGTTTTTCAAATCGAGATGAACCAAAGTATACAACTAACATATGAAAGTGTTGTCTAAATGAGGTTACTCGTTTCATACGTTCACCCTCTATCAAGCGGATTCGATTGCATGCTTACGAAGTGATTTCATTGAATTCAACACTTGCTTTGGGTGAATTTCGTTAGTATTCATGCCTGGAAAAAATACATTTGAAAATGCGAATATGGAAGGAAACAAGGGACAAATTTATATGCATGTGAAGTGATATCGCATTTTGAGCGCAAAATATTGCAAGTAAGAAGGATTGCAAAGAACCCATCAGCAATTTTCTAATCAAATGCGTTTCTCTCCTCCTGTTGCCTACTTTCCCTTATCAACATTAGTTCGCAATTGCTTCCTGTCTCTGCTGCAGTGACATAACTATGCTTATATTGGGTATGAATGATTAAGGACAGCGCCGGACAATTTGGGAGCACCCCAGTTTTAACAGACTGCCAAAGCGGGCTCATGCAGACTAGACCGGTCGCGACTGCAAAATTTTGCTTCTGAAGAGATAGAGCTTTAGAAATTTGAACGAATAAGCCTCTCCCAGCCTCGTCCTTAATGAAGCACGAAATCGACACCCCACTGCAGCCAAAGACACCCAGCAATTACGTCTCAGCACGATTTTCTGCTTCTGCAAGGACGAAAAAGACCGAATAGTGTCTCTGCTTAGCCTTCTGAAGCTATTTCTTTGCTTCGGAAGCAGTATTCTTCAGTCGCGACCCCGGGTTATGGTCTGCATGGGGACCCCGTTCAGTGATCTATTGAGATTAGGTGCTCCCAAATCTGCGTGGACACTGCCTTTTAGCAAACCTTAATGCTACCACGCATGCAATATTTCCAAAGTGCTAGGCACGTCGGTCCATCTGTTGATATGCCCATGAATCTGTTGAGGTTGTCGTTATCAATCTCCCACATCTCAAAAAAAGATAAATACTCTTTCCATGATAAATTCTCCTTTTCCTTGTTCAGAAAGCATGCTCACCTTTGTGAGATGCGCACGGATGCGTTTGGTGATACTTGGTTGAGTTTCGTACTTCCTTCCAAGGACGTTTTCTCCGTGATATAGGTAGAGCTCAAGGTGTTCCGGTATGTCATAGGGTGTACTTGCACGCTCTGTTTTACTGCTATTCAATGAAACTGTTGAAACTGAGTTTGGCTTCTAAATAAGATCTCAGTTTTTATGATAATTGTATTGTTGTATTTTGCTAAGACCTTCAGATCAAGCTTTTCCAAAGCGCTGAAGGGTATCAGCCATTTCCTTGCGTTTTCTTCCTGGTCCTTCTCGTGTCGTCTTTGAAGACACTATTGTTGAACACATGTGAAGTAAGTTCTTACCTCCAAAGTACAATGCCAATTACAGCTACTATCAAAGCAAGCAGCACAATCACGCCAGCCACCACCACGGTGAGAATACCATAACTCTGCCAAAAAGACGAGCATTCTTCGCCTAAAACTTAGATCTGTAAAATTGAAATTTTGCTTCGTCGTTATTGCAGCATCCAGACAGATCCGAACAGATGGGGATTGCGTGTAAATTGACTTTGAGGGGTTCAACTTAGACAATGCTTCAGCGGACAGCGTAGATGGTGCACTTGCTGCTCAGGCATAGATCTCCTATAAAACCCGCTCCGTATCTGGCGGACGACTTGCATCGGGTTGCAGCTATTGCGTGCAGACCCATCGCCTTTATGAAGGTCCCGCGCGCAAAAGATGCATGCCGGTGCAAGTGCTACTCTAAATACGGTTGCAGAGACGGTACTTGGACAATGCCTTTGAAGGCAGCGTCCGTACCTGCTTTACTAGTGTATTTGTGGGACGAGTTGCATCGACTTGCAGAGTTTTCTGCGGGATCCTATCACGAAGGCTGTAGGTCTCCACTTAGTAACACGCAATTCGCTGCAAGTCGGCTGCCAATTACGGTAGTGGAGGCCGGTTTGGAGACGTGTATTTCAGCTGCGAAGTGCACCACCTGCGCTACCACTTGTGTGTTTTAGCTAGGCTCCCAACATTTTTCGTTTGTAATCCCCATGCGTCCCTATGCCTGGACGTTGCCTTAGATATGCGTAGTTGGTTGATGTGTGGTTATTTGTGTAAATGTGAGATATGGCTAACATAGCGGAAAGAGTGCTCAAGATGGATGGCCAAAATGCTCGGCTCATCATTTCAAGCCGGTAAGAATCTCACAAATTGGAGCTGGATTAGACGCTGCGTTACGCATCTTCGCAATGGGATAGCACTTGTAGTCACCTTCCTCTGAACGAGAGTTCGGGGGTTCCGAGACAGAGGATATGTAGGATTGCGCTTCTGCAGTCATAGTTTACGTTTAGTGAGGCAGCGTAGAGATGAGTGGCGCAGTCATACGTACTACAAGCGCTAAAGTTCTTTGAGTCTTTTAGAGTTCCTTCATGCTGCGCCGCAGGACGCGGCAGCCTGTCAAAGCGAAACATGCCCATTCCACCGCAGCTTCGCCGTTATTCGATGTTTCTGTGCAGAATCCATACAAAAATTTTGTAATGCATGTAGAATCTGCTACGGATGTAGCAACAAGGATCTGCAAAGGTTTAGTAACGTCATGAACAGTGATAGACAGAATGAAAATCGTTGTCTGAGAACTAATTGGACGAAACAAGTTCTGGTGAAATCGAATGCACCCGAATTCAAAATGAGAAAGCCATTTAACCTACAATGTGACAAGCCAAAAGAGAAAGAAGACTGCTGACTTTAAACAAATACTCCCTAGTAATACGAACGTGCACAGCAAAGGAACATGAGAACTGAAAACTGCGGTGACATGGGCATATTTTCGCTACAAGCAATGGCGCCGCAACGGTATGAAGGAACCCTGACACCACCATTGCGTTTCTTGCTCCGCCACTCTTACAAAGGCTAAGTTGCACGGAAAGTAAGCTGAAGCAGCACCAAAGCTGCTTCACTTATCCATTTTCCCCAATCCGCTTTCCTCTCGCTCCTCTCATCCTTTGCCGTACAGCGAAGTCGCGAAAGCAAAATTTCCTCTATGAAAATGTAAAGTTTTTTCTTGCGACAAAAACATACTAATTGTAAAATTGCTAAATGACTGCAGAAGTGTTAGATAAATGACTGTAGGTCATTAATATGTAGATTAGTCTCTGTCACGAAACCAATCACGCATGAGTAATTTACGCGGAGCACTTGTAGTTCGAAATTTTGAAGTTGTTTTGCATTTTCCTGCCTTGCGTGAGTCCATTTGCGCAGGAAATAGTCAAAACGGAGAGCGAACAAAACTTTCGGCAGAAAGTGAGTCTGCACTGACAAATTTGCCTTGCAGATTGATTTGTTGAAAACTAACATATTTAAAGTTGTCTGTCCGAATTCTTAGTATGATGTGAAGATGTTACTGTTTCCGGGATACTGGAAGTCATTGCGGTGTGGAACGGACTACACCATTATTAGACTTCGTTCCAGTGAAGATTTATGAAATTTTGCCCTTGTTCCAATAGAGAAGTATCTAGAGTTTTGCTCCAGAAGTGGAAGATTTGAAATTCACATTGATTGTGTTTATTTCTCATTGCACATACTTTTCTTGTACATTTTTTACAATAAGAGGTTCAATTCTTGTCAACTGCAATCGATAACTGACCATAGCATAAAGCACCCTGGCATAAGGCTACCAAACGAGGAGAAAAGCAGAATACAGTTTTACGCTACCTTCCTGATTCCAATAGGGAACAACTATTATACATCGCAAGAACTAATCAGAGACGAAAGTCTTCCACTGTACGCAAAAGCCATTTTGGCTTTTTTGATGGAAAATTGTAAAATTCTATGAATTCATTGCCGATCAAAATCGCGAGTCATTGTTCAGATTAAAACTATGACTAAAGTCGATGCACTTGAAAGATTAAGAGCACCCCAGATCTCTCAAGATATCGCAACTTTACTCTCCACTCAATGTTTTGCATCTACATCTGCATGCAAAATCCAGTTCCGCCTAAACTTCGCGATCGACTCTTTCCTTCACTGATAAGCGGCGTCCTAGATAGTGGATGCCCTAACTGATAGTTAGAAATAAGTCGATATGGAATGTATGTAAAAGTTTTTATTACCTTTTTTTGAGTCGCATACCTACTGCCTTGTTTAGAATGGGAAAACCGTTCGAATTATGATAGGCTTCCTGAAACTGTCACGCCGTCTCTTTTCTCTGTAAAATTTGCGTTGTAGAGAACACCTAGTTGAGAAGTATACCCTGTAAACATCGAAACTCGCTCCGTCCCTCACTATCAAAAAACGAGAGAGAGGCCGGTTACGAAGACGGGGACAATCGTTTCAACGCAAGGCATTTGATCACCAGCAAATATTAACGCAAGAATTGATTGTAATGTGCAAATGGTTTATCCCGAAGCGCATTCTGGTACGCCGGGACGTTAGCATTTAAACATTTTTCAATTATTAGAGAGCTTCTAGCAGCGTATGGCGCACCCGCATAAGCGAGTGCACTTTCGCTTTGGGAGAATACGTCTCAGGATTATTTTACCGAACATAAGATTTCTATAAGATCACTGGAAGTCGGTTAGATAATGTTTCTTGTAGTCTTTAGGCGTGTGCCTCGAGACTGTGACTACTGATGTTACCAATTAGGTAAGAGGGGAGGAGAGCCTCGACATCAAAAAGAATAAAATCGTTGTTCAATGTTCAAAGAGTTTGTATCAGAGGGTAATGAAATGTGTTGTTAGAACAATATACAGTCTGCCCCAATCGGGATCAGCCCGAACCGTCGGCGTAAATTTGCGCGCTCGCAGCGTCAGGCGTTTGCACAGCACGCGCGCGCTGTCGGAGAGAGCGAGGAGATCGAAGAGGATACAGGCAAGCAGGCCGTAGGCGTGACCGCGAAGCCCTAACGACGCGGATCCCGCCATGCCAATTTTGGCCCGTTTGGGATTGGGGCAGACTGTAGCTCCTACACTCGGCTGATTCTCGTGTACCATTAGGCCGTATCACCCACCTTCGGTCGCGGGCACCTACGAAATGAGTTAGTTCCGCATGAGGCGGAATTAGTAATCGAGCGCGAAAGCTGTCTTCTGCGCAGATATACAATCGCAATAACTTCTATTCATCTTTTCTCCTCTTGTCGATCATCACATTCGTTTGAAGTTCTTGTCTTAACTAAATGAGGCCCTTCGCATGATGGCATGCCCATTGCATTAAGATTTTGAGTATACAGTGTATTTATTCAGTAGATTTGCGTTCACTTTGAGATTGGAAGGCTCGCAAAAGTTTAGCACGCGTGTGATTAGTAAGTTGGTAAGCATGCTCTACCCATATGACATAAAAGGGGAAAACATGTGCAGCAATGTTGAACAACGTATGCATAAAGTTCTTTCCACTACGTTGATCTCAGACAGACCATATGATCATTTTCAAACATGAACTGCGAATACGCAAAGCGTACATCTTTCGATATATCAATAATAGGGGAAAACGAAGAGCTGCAAGGCTGCTGATGCTAATTTCTATCTAGAATATGAAAAAACATTGTATAATCCTTTCGTAGACAAAAATGTTCTGAAAGTAAAGGCCAAGACACGCATGAACAAGGAACAGCTGTGAAAAGCGTTGATTTGGCTCAGCTACGGATCTCAACACCAAACGCTTTTGCTCTCTCGCTAATTCGATGCCTGCGTCGCGCTAGCGCCTGCTTCAGCTCGTGTTATCCCACAACCGATGCTGGATGATATAGCCCATAACTCCTTGTCCTTCTAGTACAGAGCAGTTGATGAAAACTCGTACCGATCTATTGGCTAATCACAGTTCTGCAGTCGTTATGAGCGTTTTCAACTTGAGGAAGGCGAATTCGAAAGACACTTTACGTCAGAGTTTACGTCTCTAAATATCGGAGCTTCATGCAGACTTGAAGACTTTACGAAAATTGTCGTAACAAATCACAACAGTTACATGTGGACAACACTCATTATCTCATTTCACAAATAGTGAAATTTAGTTCAATGACATAATCGTGGGGAGTTCATCCTCGTAACAGTGTTATCCTTGCCTAGATTTCGAATAACACTATAAATTACACCATTAGCTTGATCGAATTTTTAAAGGCAGCGTCCAGGCGATTCTGGACACATGGGTATCTCACGTGGATAGTGATTTCGGGGCCCTAACTAAGCCACTGCTCAAGCGGCAGCTCAGGTAGTGCTCTAACGGCTGAGATTTTCCCCTCGAAACTGGACCCCGCGGTCGTATTACGCATGGATTCGTGGCGCAAAGCGTGTGTCCTGGCGCGAAACTGCCATGAATCCATGCGAATACGATCGCGGGGTCCAGTTTCGAGGGGAATATCTCAGCCGTTAGAGCACTACCTGCGCTGCCGCTTAAGCAGTGCCTTAGTTAGGGCCACAAAAGTACTTTCCACGTAAGATCCCCATAGGTCCAGATCTGCTTGGACGCTGCCTTTAATGACATACTGTTTTGCTACGGCTAGATAAGATCCTCAACATGTCTATGGCCGCATGCATGAACACTACCATTGGGGAGGGGATCGCAGCTTTAGAGGAAAGCTTCATATCCTGGAGCTTCAAATATCTGAATTTCACGCTGTCTACCTATCCGTAATACTTTCACCATCCTTCACCGTGAACATCTTGAACGGGAGCCAGAAGCTGTTACAAGCCGGCTTTTTGTTGGATCCCCTGATGTTTCTCGCTGTCGACACCGCCTTTTCTATAAAGTCATTTTTCTTTTTCGAATTCAATAAAAACATTAAAGTTTTGCTGTTTATCTAACCCGACAGTGCTCATCATGTTCCTGGTAGAACAAGTGATGTTCCCAAAGTCATGAAATTTGCGATGAACCGCAAGTCGAAGGTTGGGGTTTATCGAAAACCGATATTCAAAAAACATTTCTTATCAGCAACATGCTTAGCACTGTTGGGTCAGATAATAAGTACGACCTTGAAAGGATTTCATTGACTTTGAAGGAAGAAAAATGAATATGAAAAAAAGACGTCCGGCCGCGGGGATCATTAGGGGACCATATAAAAAGCCGGGAAATGCGGCTTGTAGAGCTTTTTGCTCCTGTTCAAGATGTTTATAGTGAAGGATGGTGGGAGTACTCTTGAAGTATTCTGAAGCTCCAGATATCTGGATTAGCTGTGTCTACCTATCCTTAAGTACCGCCACCATCCTTCACTCTGAACATCTTGAACGGGAGTAAAAAGCTCCAGCTTTTTGCATGATCTCTGATGATCTCCTGCGCCCGACCGTTTTTTCTTCAAAGTCGTTTTCCTTTCTTCAAAGTTAACGAGATTGTTCCAAAGCTGTATCAATTATCTAATCCAACAGTGCAAAACATGCTGCTGATATCGATAAACCCAACTTTGGACTTATGGTTCATAACGAGCTGTTTTTGGTCAGCAAGACTTTGGTTCAAGCCTCCAATACATCAATTGTTCTCCTCAGCAAGATGCTTAGCACTGTTGGGTTGGGTAATTAGTACAGCTTTGAAAGCTTTTTGTTAACTTTAACGGCAGAAAAATGACTTTGAAGAGAAGAAAATCGACCGCTGGGGATCATCAGAGGATCAAAAGCTGGAAAATGCGGTTTGTACAGTTTCTCGCTCCTGTTCAATATGTTCATAGTGAAGGATGGTAGGAATATTTACGGGTAGGTGTAGACAGCATGGAATCCAGATATTTGGAGCTTTAAAATATGAAGCTATCTACTAAGCAGGAAGTGGTCAGAACTTAACCCCTATTCCACAATCTATACATCATCGAACTCGTCTTGAAACGATGATTTCAAATATATATATATTCTTTATCTGCCAAGCGACTGTCTGGGAGGAATTATGGTGTTCAAATATGAGAAGTTTTTTGACTTTCGACGAGTGTATTTTCTTGAAAGGCAACCTGACGGCGCGGATTTACAGTGGTTTTGGCTATTTCATTTACAAGGAAGAAGCACATTTACTAAAAACCTGAATAATTGTTTTCGGAAAACCTATTTTGTAGAACATGCGCCACAGAACACTTGACAAATCGCACACTTAAACGCTCATAACTCCTCCCAGATAGTCGCTTGGCAGAAAATAAACATATCTTTGTGAGCAGCTTTCAAGGCCGAGTCCGATGATATACAGCATTGGTATTTCTGAGTTAATCTGACCATTCCCTGCTACGTTGCGATCCTCTCCCCGGCGGGGATGTCAATGCTCTTAAAGTCGAAATTGAAAATATTAGAATAAAAATATTAGAATAACCAAACTAGGGAAAGAACCATGGGCTGGAGATCTCGATGATCATTCGAGCGGACATCAAGGGAATTGAACAAAAACATAACTGTCACATAGAGAGAAATTCTGCATTGAAGGTTGTTTAGAGCGTTTGTCTATCTTTATTTTAAGTTTTGGGTTTGAGAAACAGCGCGAACTTTTGGATAAAACTAATATCATAATTTTCAAGTATAGAAGTATTTGCACGTTTCCATAACTCATGTAAATAATAAATAATATGAATAATACTTGGAGGAGAAATGCGAAGACCAGTACAAGATCTGAAAGTTATCTCCCCTACTGCGTCTGCAGTGATGGGTCTTGCATAGTTTGTGCACCTGTTTGATAAATTCTTAGTAACTGCGTAACACCTGTTAGGTTCAGTCTGGAGGCTGATTGATGTTGCTGAACAAAGTTTTAGTATCTAGAAAAAGAACCAAATGTGATGTAAATCCTTTTCATAAGTTCACTGTCTTGGCTCTTAAACCGGAGCCTCACATCAAGACTACGATCAACTACTATCGAAATAATCTAGGCGAACAGGCCTTTGACTGATCACCGAGTGACCCCGCATTCATACCTTCTACAGCTACCAATTTTCGAATCTTTGCTAGTAAATGAAGTACACTTACTAGTAGACTTACATTAAAGTTACTAGTTACATTTACTTACTTCTTCTTCCTTCACTTCGCCATCCTGCTATGCTATATTAGCAATACAACAGTGCGAGTGAGGTCGTCGAACAGGTCGTAAGTGCTGTTCGCAAGAGGAGACTAATATTCATTATTTTTCAAAATGTTGTTCAAAATACAATATGAGAATAAAAGATTCGGCGTCTTTGATAGTCTCCAAGAAAAGGCAAGTGTGTGCGTGCGAGCCTTCCACTTCGTTTTTAGAGGCCAGCCGATCACCAAGTTAGTTTGTTTCCCCAGAGTACTCCGGTGACCATTGCTTTGCCGACCCAGGGGCGAATCGAGCCATGGTCCTACCCGATCGTAGCAGGGCTACGATGGGTAAGCGTAGCCTCATACCCCTACGTTACTCGTCCCTAGATGAAAGTAGATAAAAGTACTTTGAACAATTTGTAGAGTGTTCTTATTGCAGGTGACCATCCCCTAAAACTCATTTTTCCAGAAAAATACTTGACATGGTAAGGAAAGGAGGGAAGTTTGAGTTTGTATAGAAAACTAAGGAATATTAATCAAAATTGTTGGGGAGTGATGGATTATGTATTGATTTGTGTTGTCCTTTCGTTGTCTTCCGTTGTAGTTTGATCTCTTGTTCGGTTATTAGTTTCAAACTCGGTTTCCCAAGAGTATCCCGCCTGTTCTCATGAAGTCATTCTAGGTGCCTGGTACCGAGTGGTACGTTCTCACAGTCAAGTATATATATAGGGACCGTAACCATTTGATGATTTATTTATGATTCCGATCAGCTAATAAAGCACTGAGTATTTCACTGTGTCCGGTTCCTCAAATAAGACAGGACTACAAAAAATAATCCAGATAAAAGACGTATGTAGATAATGCACCGTTGCCGTACATCTATCCAAAATTTCATGGATACCCGGCAAAGACTTATTCAGGCAAGAAAACAGGACAAAAATTAGAGCAGGTCAAAACTGCTAGCAGCCTCTTCCAAAGGTAGAGTAGCCGTGATCAATATGCTGGTATCGTCGCAAACCAAACAAAAAAATTAGCGTACCGCGGAATCCGCACAGTGGTATAGCAAGGGGTCGTACGCCACCGTAAGCTGACCACACCACTTCTTTGTCGTTTATCAATACCGTTTTTGTCTGCAAGATTTCTACCTTCAAGATCATAAGGCATATTGAAAGCAGAGCTATACATATTTTTCCAGCAAAGTAAGTCGGATGCTTTCTCAACGGTAAACATGAAGTTAGATCTGCTCGATGTGCAAAATCCATGCCTGTGGGGAGCGATTTTAACGAACTAGTGCCGCAGTGGCTGCAGCAGCAGCAGCACAGGAATGCAGCAACGATTTCACCAAACTGCTGTTGCGAGATCTTTTTCAGGTACCAAAACTAATTAGTAATTATGTATGAGTTATGCATGCATTCTGAATAAGATCAAGAATGAGCTTGTTAGAGCAACGTTCATGCTGTTTTTGACTCCCAGTTCCAAGACAAATGGTGCATGGTTTGTTGCTTTGAGTTATAACAAAGATGTAAGAGGGTATGAAGGTGTACGCGGGCTGATCGACTGAATCGTGGGAAACTAAACACTACAATAATGTGGAAGATGGAAAACTACTGCAAGTCTGCAAACTGCCAATTCCTAAGGAGGACGCAAGACATTAACAGATAACAGATAGGCAAGACTTTAACAAGTAAATAACACCATAATGCTCAAACACAAAGCTCCAAACTCAATACTAATGCTGCAGCTGCTGCATCGATGCGGTCAGTGCAATCAGTGAGGTCAGTGCAACAGTATGCAACAATTTTAAGGATGATTTACCTAGATTTCAAAGAAATGTGTTAAATACAAACCACATCTTGGTCCACTTTCAAAGTCATGATTTCGCGGAGATCGCCGTTTTCACTAATGCCTTCGAGTTTTAGAACTGGAACCAGCTGCCCGTGGGAATTCACTGTCACACTGCTTCCCGCTCCTGAACCATCAATACGATTTCAAGCGTAATAGCGTTAATGTGCATGTAAAATCTAACAATAAAGCATCCGGTGATGCAAGCAAGCATGCTTCTAGAGGACCACATATGCTGATTTTCTACAGTAGCACCGTTGTCTAATAGTCCAGCAATCTTAATGGAGCAGTTTCTTGTATTTCCGGTTTTTGCAGTTTCTCAACAGGTTATAGACCGATCACATTTTGATTGCCTTCTACTTGGGACAACAAACTTTGAGCATTCATGCCGACCGAAACCATCTTTAGGTTTTTTCGGATATTGCTGAAACGATCTTATTGAAGTTTCGTTGTGGCGTTACCTTGCGGTGCCAATTGTTTTCGACTAGGTCTTGGAGATATTCCTGTATCTACCAAACCATTATTATTACTATGTGTTCGGTATGATTGGCATCAGACGGTCCCTCCAGCGTTACGACTGGGTCTATAAGCAAAAATTCCCAGCATCGTCCGCCCTGTCCACATAACTTAATAGAACTCACCGCCTTCCACATCTACGCGACATTTGCGCACCCGCTTCCGTATATTCGTAGGCATGCTCGCTCATTTTCTCTCTCCCCCCCCCCCTCCACCCATTCCAGCACCATTACCAACTGTAACAACCTTGAGTCGCGTAGAAAGTGCGACAATTCGTCAAAACCGACAATGGCAGGTAATATCGAAGGTGGACGTTGTTTTTGCAGTCACAATCATAGTTATCCCTTGTGTCAATTTCCAGCCGCCTAATCGAAGTGATGGAAAATTGTATTGACTTGTAACGAAAATTAGCCCATGGCGCCCAATGTATGTTAAGTTTGGTCCAGATCGGTAAAAAAGATGAAAATTTCTATTTGGAACTCATATACATACAGACAATGGATCAGGGACAGTGCTTTGTATATGACTTCTGCATCAATAGATAAGATTTACATGACGTCACGGAAATTCTCCAAAGCTTTTTGAGCAAAGCGGCATGGATGTCATCAATGAAACTTCCTAAGTCTACAAGATGTCACCAGTAAAAGCTGAGCCCAATATAGTGCCTTACTTCCGGGTTTAGCGTGTAAGAAAGTCCCTAAGATGATCTTGTTTCACGAAAACAATAGGAGAAAACCTTTCTAGGGGCTTTCTCATGAAAATTCAACGTCGAGCGTGAGCCGCCATGTGAATGAAATTGTTTTAAGTGTTAGTCGTTGTGACTAGTCATGTGAGTTGCGTGTCGTCCACACTATATGCACCATTTTAGATATTCCATGATTGTGAATCCTACTTGAAACATTCTCAGTTTCTTAATATCTTGTTTAGGGGTCGTTTCAGTATCTGTGAATTAGAGGCACTTGGGGTAAGAGATATCTCAGCATGAATATTAAGTTAGTGCAAAAGTTGTGTCAGTCTTTTCAATCCACCGACAAATACGGTAGAATAAAGATAAACAAACATATCGACCTGTGTCTCATGCAGAATCTCTTCCCTTTTCCAACTGCTATATTTCCATTGTTATTTATAGGAGGGCGCTGAAATAATCGTTGGAAACAATTCCCTGTTTTTACCATGCCCAACATCCGCTAATTTTCAAAGTTTCTGCTTGAGATTTTGAAAAGTTGTAATAGCCAACAAGCAGGACAAAGTTTTTGCCAAATGAAGCAGTTGTTGCAACAGTTGCGTTCTGATGCTTTTGGGCGCATAGGTTTTGAGTGCTTTTGCACCCTTTGGGAACTTTTGAGCGTTGGGCGATTTTGAGCGATTTAGACGGAGTATGACAGGCGCCATGAGGCTAGTCAATCATTTCCATGTTTGAGCTGTCAATCGCGTTTAATTACAGAATACAAGTCTACGCTTCATGATTATCAAAGTGTAAGTGGAATCAAATATGAGCTGCACCATATAAGCCTCAAATCGACTTATAAATCGATTTTATCGATAATCGACTTATATGTGCCCTGCGCGCAAAAGATCGCGAGTTCACTTATCGCAAGAATGGAACTGATTGAAGGAAGCTGCATTGAAACTGCACTAGAGTATCTGTATGTCGTGTTTGTAGTCATTATTTGAACAAATAATTTTTTACTTGCATCAGCTGCAAAACAATACCTCCCGACCCAAAAATCAAAATTTGATGAAAAGTTATATTGAATCATACGCGTCCTCTGCGCCGATGAAAACACAACTTGCGACAACGATGAAAACAAAATTTGGAAGCAAGATGCCTTTAGTAGCTACTCCTATACAGTTTTCTGTAGAAGCCGTCAAAGATTCTCAAGAGAATATTGTGGATATGGTTTATCAACTTCCATCTCCTAAGGTCTACAGCCGTTTTCATTGAACGGAAAGCACTGGCATGAGGTCTGCCAGTTCACCGTCTGGCGAAGATGCTGCAAGTATGACTGAATAATTCAAGCCTCGAGAATTTCACCAACAGCGCAATTACCTAAGATTAAAGGTGGTGCATTGCATGTTTCAAATTACAAATTTCGGGATTGCAAAATTTGCATTCAGGTCAGTCTCACACATTATCTCTACCAAGCCTTATAAAATATTTCAATTCAGTTCTAGCTGCGACCGAGATTGGCGATTATTTATTTGGGCCAACGTTTAGAGTCTCCTTTTTTAGAGCCTGAAATGGACAAATATACAGACACTACACTACCCGACCAAACATCTCCACAGTTCTACGTGCAAAATTTTATGCTTCTTTCAACCACAAGCAGTCTGCTACACGCAGTACTAGAAAATTTGATCAAGATAAAGCGGGAGACGTCTTCGCGTCATTCTTTAGGATTCATTTCAGAATTTTTAAAGTATATTCAAAAGGCGTCTGAAGTTTTGCAAGTGGATGTTTGAGCTTTGCGCGCTAGAACCTCATATTATTCTTCAAAATCAACTCCTCAGTGATCTTAGTTTTGAGGACGGTTTTGAGTAAATAAGGTCATATTTCACCCCTAAAATAGAACCAAAGAAAATGAAAGCTCCTACAGGATTAATCGAAGTCGCTGATTCCAAACATGCATGAAAAATTTGTTACGCATTTTTCAGATTTTTTATAAATTTCTTTCGAACGGCCTTTTTACAGTAGCATATGCTGCAAGTTCCTACCGTGCTCCTACAGTAATGAAGATAGTCTTTATTCGGACCATACTGTAAATCTAGGTGAAGTCAGCTCTACAATTGGTACCTGAGACTTTTCGAAAGACTTCGTTACAAGAGAGTTATTAACATTCAAACAGTAGGCACATAGGTTGGGACATCCTGTATATTTGTCTTTGAAAAAGTTCCGTTAGAATAAAGGAGGGCCTTCGGGAGAAGCAACTGTTTTGTGGAAAGTTAAGGTAGATATTAACACTAGCTATCCTACAGTCAAAATCTACCTCGAATACATAATGGAAAGTTGAAGAGAGATGATGACAAATTCAGAATTCAAATTCTCAAGGTAAATTGATGAATACGGTTTTATGTGTTTCGAGGTTGATTTCTACCTCAAGGTGGACTGAACCCATAAGAAAATCATTGCAATCACGTTGTGAATACGGGTTACAAAATGGGCTAACCAAGCTAGATTTTAACCTTGAGAGTTCTTGATGAATACAGCCACAGTTTAGCCGTTTTGAAGGCCGAACGCCTCAGGACATCATAAAACTAAAGAATAAGCGAAAACACTTAAACCTGTTCCAGCAAATTGAATGAAAAAAGGATGCTTCCGCTAGATGCGCAGTATTTTGATAATACGGCGACGTAGATTGCAAGACAAAGCATGAATAAGTAAGTTGTGATCCTCATGTAGTATGTTACGCGTATATCATTTTAGCCAAGAATGTTGTCTTGAATAGCATAGGATTGACACACACCATGGCCACACACCATGCCCTAGGCTACACTATCATCATTGGCCTTGTGTAAAAACTTTACCTCAGCAAAAAGCAGACGTACTGAACTGCGCATTTATTTTCCTACAACAAAGAATCCTCGAGGGAAGTTATAGAATTGTATTAATCAAACATAACCGGCATGTTTTGGCTAAGCATTCAAAGTTGAAAGCGACTAGACATGTTGAAACATTTCTCACTTTAACTCAAGTAACGCTTTCATTGCCGTGGCAGTAATTTCCGCCCACCTTTTTCTGTATTTCTACAGAATTTTTATTCTAGTTGTTTTGTGTTTATGTTCAAGCCAACTTCGCATGACACTGATTCACTATTTGATGTTTCGCATTCTGTATTCATGTAGACTTTCAAGATGTTTTGAGAGTGAGGATGTAAATAATGCTCATAGGATGATTTATAAGCACGCGCTCAACATCAATAAAGACTTCCGAGCACAGTGTGAATGTTGAGGCAACTAACTATAGTGCAAAATGTTCTCTATTTGGGTGTTATCTAATCTAGAGGCTAACAAATTTAATCGTTGAGCGTACCGCATCACCGTGTTAGCTGTGCAACATTGGACTTGTTCGATGTTTAAGCATGACAATCGTCAAAAACGTAGTTTTGCTCTCAAACATGTTTGATTCTCAACAATCTTACCTTCAAACGTCATCGCACAATTCTGCAGAATTCTCGTTCCATTTCGCAACTGCTTTGCATCTTCCGTTAGAGTTCGATTTAAAGCCAAACCATATAGAAGCACGATGTCATAAAGTTGATCGCAGTAGTTAGACGCCTAAACATGGCGAAGACAGCTCTGACAGAAAAAGCTTCGATGAATACAATGTTGCCTTAAAGGCAACGTTACACTCATCAAGGCAGGGTAGGCACAGATTTTGATTTCAGGCTATATCATGATCGAGTATTAGAGTCTTGATCCAGAAGTACTGCGCAAACCCGATTTTCAAACACTCTCTCTGGGAGGGTGGGTTCATAATGACTCGTAAGTTCTGGAACAGTTCCAGCACAGCGCACAGTTCGAGCGCTGTGTTTCCGGAATCAGTATGAATTCAGCCAAAGGGATAAATTGGAGCGCAAATTACAAGATCTTTCGAACCTCACAAATTCTTCTACAACTCCAATTTTATGAGCGGAAATGCCCTGCTCAGCCCTTTACGCGTTTCACATGACAAATACTTGAGCGCCTACTATTGGTCTGTCAATCTGCCTTTGAAAGGATAGCGTCAACAGCTCATTACAATTCTAAAATGAAAAAATGAGTTTTTAAGGGAATGATCAGGAGGTAGGATCGCCGCGAACTTTTCGCGAAGCGATGCAGTAAGCGATGCCAATGTTACTGACCCAGCGCTCCTAATACGTGTTGCTTAAGACTGGGTCCATACTGATTCGGCTGTTCCATGCAGCACAGTTTCAGCGCAGTTTTCAAACTGTTCTAGAACTGTGCTGCAGTCGTCCGCATGCGGGTTTGAGCGGCGCGAGCTAGAAATTCTTGACCGTTTTCAACGCTTCTTACGATTTCACTCATTTGGTCTCAATCCTCTGCCCCGCCTTTCCTCGTGAAGAAAAAAGCTGCGAACTTGAAGCGAGACTGAAGAATAGGCTCAATTCTGCTTTTATGTATCGGGGAAGATGTGCTTTCCTGCAGTCATCCACTCTCCTTTATTTTATTTTTGTTTGGAGTTACTTCATGTGCTCAGGAAGCCGCAGCGCAGTTTTGCATCTATACTGAAAGGGGCATGAACAGCTTTCTGGAGCATATGAGTATGAGCGAAAATAGAGAAGAGAGGATGGACAAACGCACAAAGCCGGAGCCCGGATCATGGAGCAGAACAGCGTTCAATCCTCAACTTCAAGCTCACAGCTTTTTCCATCGCAAGGAGAAGCAATGTAGAAGAGAGAACGGAGGAGCAACGATGTGGAAAAAGGAAAGGGGCTGAGAATGCACGAAAACGAAATTCATCAGAAAACAAGAGCAAAGTTCCCATTTCCCACTTTCAGAATGTTCGCATGCCCTGATTCAAGATAGATGCGCGCGGAATTACGCAGCAACCTCGTGGAACAAATGGAATAGGTTTGAGCAGAAAGAAAACGAAGCGAGAATGGACGAAAGCAAAAGCAGAAAAGTGCTCATTCTTCCACCCGCTCTGAGCTCGAAGTTCTTTTGATCAAAAAGGGAAGTGGGGTAGAGGAATAAGGCCATTGAGAGTGAGAAAAATCTGGAAGAAAAACCGTTGGAAACTCACTCCCGTCGTTCAAAACGGGTTGCAGCGCATGCAGCGCAGTTCCGGAACAGTTCCAGCACAGTGCGGGAACCGTGCAGGAACAGTCCGAAACATAGGAATTAGTATGAACCCAGCCTGTGAGCACTCATGGGGTTCCTTCATACTACGCCGCAGAACGCAGCAACATGCCGCGTCCTGCGGCGTGCGCCGCCGCATCGCAGTGACAATATAGGCTCGCTAGCTTTGAAGAAACCTCTTGAAGAACACGAACGTGCAACAAATATAGATGTACATCTGTAAAAGGCGAAGCTATGCTATGAGCGTACATTTTCGCTGCAAATTGAGTGGCGCACGACGCAGGAGCGGCGTGCTGCGGCGTAGTATGACCCATGGAAAGCAAATGAATTGCGGGAATTACACGCAAGATTTCGCAATAGAGAACATGGGATGAGTTCTTGCCTTTCTCCCATTGCTCATTGATGTTTGAGCTCTCAAAGAGCGAAAATATGCCACTAAGGCATCGGTCAAATCTCGCGTGACCTGAACAGCGCGCAATTCGGCACTGCTACGATGGCTCCGAAGCGCGTTCTCGAAATTGGCACGCTCATCAGTTTACAAAAACTAGTCAGTGCACGGAGGGCTGCGTGCAGTAAATTGATAAATATCGAACGCGTGAGGTGTAACCGACGCCCAGGCACTTCTGATCGTCCCCTTCTATAGTGCTAGTTTTTGCAGTTTCTTTCAACTTTGTACTTTGTTAATACAATCAATCTCATTTTATTGCTAGAAAGATGAAGCTTATAAAAGTCTTCTATGATCAAATGTTCCGCTAGCTTCCTACTACTACAAGGAACTTTGTTGCAACAAAAGAGGATTGAAAATAGACTGCAAGAAGTATGCAAAGGGATTAAAGTAGCCAATTCCAGATTATGAGTACCGTGCCACTGCCCTACTGGTCATTTTCAGTGGCTTGTGTGCTGTTGCGGGTAGCTACAGGGGAGCTAAGTCGGCCAAAATGAGTCCCTGTGACTTGGTATAGAATACAAATTTAGCAGATACAGAAGAGGCAGCCTGTTAGATTGTCCTTGAATTGCTACATTTGGCATGTTCAGACTAGTCGATCTAAAAAAACCTCCTCTTGTACTCGTGAAATTTTATATGTAGATTGCTTACAGAAGCTGACGTCCATTTTGTTGAGAAACTTCTGAGAAATTGGCCCTCTCACTCGAAAGACACCGATGGGGCATTGACAAAATAACTGAGCATTTTCCAGGAAGAAAAGTGACAGGTATTAAAATTAATGGATGTTAAAATCTCAATAAGGTTCGTTTACGTGTGTCAAAACTGCTCATGTTTATCACTTCAAACACTATAAACTTTCAGCATTACCTGCAGATCAAAGCACGCGAGATCACGCAAATATCGTTTTTTTTTAAATAAACGAAGGAAATTTAAATCCCGTTGCTTCGATCCCTCTTGAAAATAGTAATAACTCGTAATAGCTTTTTAATAATATGTTATGACGTAATTTGAAACTTATTCTTCTGTCAGAGGCTTTCCACCAATTCAATGAGAAATATAACCATAAGCCGCGTGCTAACTGAGCCGCCCGTCAAACATGCTTCGTTTAATAATCTGTTTAATCTAAGTTTATCGTGTGGCGATGTTATGGAGTAAGGAAAGTGGAAAGGTTGGTGTATGAATTCTCATAACAGACTCACTATCCAATAAGCGGGATCAGAGCATTCTTCTGTGCAGTTTTGGGGTGGTTGCTTAATTTTGTCTATAACTCGTTCGCGAAATGTAGTCAAGTTGTGCTTCTGGATAGTTACCTGTGCATAAACATCAATTTGAGGACTTTTTCTTCAAATGCTTGAAAAGATGTAAGTGAAATTTTCTTGTGCAGTACTAAATCTAAATTTATGACTGACTACAGCAATCAAAGCCATTTAGAAGGACTTACAATGAATGATTTCATGAAACCCTCTTTGGCTTGATTATCTTTTCCATCCATTGTATCTTCGTCCAGCCATATGGGTATATCTCCACGAGAGGTCCGCTTTGCTATAATTATTCAATTTGCTTCAATTCAGTAAGGATAGCTTTATTCATAGCGCGAATTTGTACTGTTTTCAGAAAAGCCGTCTTCGATTGGTAAGTGAAACTTTTTAATTTCATATTTCCCAAAGGCATTTGTTCACCAACATTTCAGATATTCTTAATTTGAAATCTTTCCGAAAATTTTGAGTTGTAGTACATTACTAAAATCTGAAGATGGATGAACTGAACTTCTGTTTGCACTAGTTTTGAAAACCTGCAAAGCAGCTCAGGCTGCAGAGGCTCACTTGGTGTGAAGGCTCTAAATTACTTCCTAATTATCATCGTTGCTTCTCTTAGCAAGCATAAAAGGAATAGAGACTTAGGCGTTATGCGAATGCATGGATCGTAAACGCACGAAAAAGCTGAGAGCTATAGCGCCGTGCATCTGTGCAGAGGTAACCAAGCCGCACAGAAATACTCTCGACAAGATAAAACGTACCGTAACCGCCGCTTTCGGAATCTACAATAATGTATATATATTCACTACTAAGCATGTTATTTTTGTGGGCTTCAATCATCGTCCTGCGAACAGCATTCGCGTCACTAAGGCAGAGGATGAAAACTGGAAATAGCACTTGCTTCATGCTCAGTTTTGAGCATATTCCGTCTTACTTCTTGCTATGACCGAAGTTCGAGTGAGCGTCACGCTAATAAGTTCTGTCGACTCTGTGCGAAGTTCGACACTTCTTGCGATGAAAGCTCCGGCCTTATCGTACGTGACAGCCTGCAAAGAACTTATGTAGGAATCAGTGTTCATGTTGAGGTAGGGTTTAAATTAGCTATAACAATCGACTCAGTATCATCATATCAGCTTATATCTCAGGCATATGGGAACAAAATAAAAAAGTTTGGGTGTTTTTAATCTGTTTGCTTAAGTCGTAACAGAACACGCTAACATAAAATTTGCTCACTTGAAAATTGCAGCATTCTGCATCGTGTGAAGTTATTAAACATTTTTCTTATTTGATGAAAATAAGGAACATTTGAAAATGCTTCAAAAGCTGGCAAGGTAAATGATTCACTTAAATTTCGATCAGTTCATTTATATATTTGTGCTGGCAAAATCAGTGGTTCACTTATATTTTCAAGTCTCACCGCATGCACTGGTACTTGATCATAAGGCTCTTTTCATGGTTAATGAAAGACTGTAAATTCGTTGGCTCAAAGAGCGCGTCAATTACTTAGTTGTACCTCTATAATATCACACTACTTTACTCTTGATTCCAAACTGCTACTCTTTTTGCGTTGTTGAAATTCCCCACCTGTGTTTCGGCAAATGACAATGTTGTAGGAAGAGTTTCCAAAACCTGATTCATGACGCATTGGTGGGTTACCAGAGTTGTTTACGAAATAATTGATTTCGGATCTTGGGGTCAAAGTAGAGTTGCATTAATCATATGAGATCAGCGTTAGGAACCTGTATGAAAAAACGTATCGAAACCGTCATGTGTAGCAAGAATATGACACTCCTTGAATTTGAGGGTGCTGCAGTAAAATCAAACTAGGGTGACAAAAAGATGTGAACACTGTTTGATCATGAATAAATCTCGTGTTTTGATGTCTTTCGCCGAGCTTTAGGTACCATTCTGTCGAGCGAGGTTCAACTTGGATTCAACGTTGGACCGAGTCATCAATCCGTTACTGTAGGATTACAGTAAAAACTTTGAGAAGGATTTTAAGAAATTGAAAGCGAATTCTGCCCTGGAATGAAAACCAAATAAGTCAAAACCTCTTGTACTGACTAATTGAAGTCGCTGATTTTGAATACGAAATTTTTACTTTATTGCAATGTTTCTTTCATAAATTATTTCAGGTTCGGGGTAACAAATGTTTCTCCAATGCTTGTCAGAAGTGTGACTACACCATTAAGAAGGTTAAAAAACTGGTGAAAAATTGTGTGGTGGAATCAGCACGCCTGAAAATCTTGCTGCAGAAATTTCCAGATTCTTTGAAAATTTTCGATCAAAAGGCCTATTTCACAGTGGCGCTTCAAAAAGTTCATACCGTATATCTATTAGGGTGATCCAAGAGTAATGGGGCACCTAGAGAATAAATGCAGTTTTCTCAAATAGAAAAGCTAACTGGAAGTCCAAGTTTTGGCAGATGTTAGTACATAACAAAACCTTCTGATCGAGGTCTATAGTTGGGCACTGTCACATGGCGTTACTTTTATGAGCGCTCAAAATTGAAGCTCATCACTTCAAGTAATTTTGAGCTTTGAGCAGCAGCGCCGCAATAGAACAAGTGAGCCTACCAAAGATATCTGCGCAGCAATGTGTGAGGGGACTGTCGCCAAGTCCACGATAGCTCGGTGGTCCCAAGGCTGTAGAACAGAAGATATAGCATTGGTTATCAGGAGATATATTAGTTATTCTTTCATTAAGGTAATCAAATAAGCTCAACCTTAACAGTTGCTTTATGATAGTGCTTTTTACGCTCTATCCATACATACGCAAATTACTTTGTCTTTTCTCATTTTCAAAAAATTGTGCGGCAAAACATGAATTTTAGTCTAAAATCTGCGCCAAACACCGCACTTTTTTGAATAAAGTGCCTTTTTTGTATGAAAAATTGAAAATTTTTGAATCTTTCAGTAATCAGTAGAAAGAGCTTAGAAAGCTATTTCTAATGATATGTCATATGTCAAGGGACTTTCAGGTGCAGCAGCACAAATTCGGATGGCGTTCAAAAAAGTCTGCCTGACTTCTTTGAAGCGCCGCTCGAAGAAATGTCGGTGAGGTGCTGCAAGATGTTATCAAGATAACCTGCGAAGGTCACTTTATGCAAAAGCTTTCAAATTGCTGGCTGTTCGTACCTAATCAGGAAGAGATCTTGAAGAATTCTCAAAAAAATCAAGGTGCCCCATTACTTTTGGATCACCCTAATATATTAATGAAGATTGATTGATGATTAACTTTATATTGTAAATCTAATGGAGCCTCGCTCTACAGAATGGTACATCAAGCTCGGCGAAAGCCTGAAACCAAGAGATATTTAACGATTAAACAGTGCTCATACCTTTTTGGAACACCTTGTGTTTCTTGAAAAAAAACAACTGAACGCTACCACTAAGTCATTGCAGCTTTGAAGACAAATTAACCATAAATAGCACTGTAAAAAACGGTAGTACTTGAATTTTGTGGCAGAGACGAAAAACATAAACACCTTACATATGAAGCTGAATGTCTGTTTGTATGTCTGTCTGTGTGTACGTATGTTGCAAATAAGTGGCCGTATTCATCAACGAACCCTGAGGGTTAAGCTTACCCTCCAGGGTTAGTTTAACCCTCAGGGTTCATTGGCCGTATTCATCAACCATAGGCTAGGGTTTACCACGTAACGCGATCTACCCGTATCGATCAACGAACCTGTGGCCGTATTCATCAACCCTGAGGGTTAAACTAACCCTGGAGGGTTAAGGCGTCAGTTACGCGTGCGCTGTGCAAACTCACATCACAGAATGCCTAAATACGGGCTAAATTCACTTTATACTTCTATTCTTTCACAGTTATAGTAGTATAGTCAACGAATAAACTTCTAACACTAGTTTTCATAATACATCTCTAGCATACTTGTGCAGCATCCAATCTTACAGCGTGATTTTATTTTCATGTGTGCAATTGTGCAGTGTAAGTTCTACTTTTGCGCAGTTTGTTTTATACCGGGCTTGTGCTACTCTTTTAGGAGTCAATGCGTGTTATTATAAAGGGGTTCTTCTGTTTTGGCACTTGTCGGAGTGGAATGCCATTTTTCTTCGTCGCATTCATTTGTCATCAAAGCTAGAATTCTTTTTCTCGCAAAATCAGTGTTTCATGTACTTCGAATATGAACATAAAACGAAGTCGAAACTAAATACTATAACAACAACCAATACTAAATACTACAATACTCGTTAATCGTTTTCCATAAATTATTAGATGCGAGTAAATGTTTGTATGAAGTGTTAGGGTAGAGTTAACCTTGCTCTGAGCTAGGGTTAAATTAACCCCGATGAATCACGTAAGTTTAACCCTCCAGGGTTAGTTTAACCCTCACGGTTCGTTGATGAATACGGGTTAGTCGCTGTCGGGGTAAGATTAACCCTCAAGGTTAGATTTAACCCTCAGGGTTAAGCCTACCCTGTGTTTCATGAATACGGGTTAGTCGCTTTCCAGGGTTAAACTAACCCTCCAGGGTTAATTTTAACCCTCGGGGTTCGTTGATGAATACGGCCAAAGAAATTTCATTTCCGAGCCGATCCGGACCAAACTTGGTACACACCCATTTGGCGGGGCGGGTGTCGTAGGCTACTTTTCGTTATCGATCGATATCGCTTTTTATCGATTTTTTTGTAAAGTTTGACTTGTGGACTGGGAGTTGGCACAGGGGGTTAGTCGAGTGTGCCCATTACGAATACAATATTAGTTTCTGAAAACTTCCGTTAGTCTTATCGATTTTATCGATTTTTTCGCAAAGTTTGGGCTATGGGGATGGGGTTGGCACAGGGGGTAATCGAGTATGCTGATTACTAAAACAGCGGGAATAGCGAATTGGCATGTAGACGTGGGCACGTAAGGAAAGGTTGTATAGGGATAAGAATGAGAGCTTTATCATAGTGTTTTGACAGGGCCGGGTGGAGCCGGATAAGCCAGCTAGTATTGTTATAGGATAATAATTTATACCAGATGAAGAATCGCGGAATGTCCACGTGCCTTGCTTGTCATAAAAATTTTATGAATTGGTTCATTCTGAAGGAAGTTTCAGCTGGGGGTTTTTTGCAAACATACTGCAAGGAAGCTTCGACGAAGGCTTGGAAGAAGACCAAAACAGTAAGAAGCTTTCTCACTATTGTGTGTTTATCAACGAAGTTGTGCTTTGAAATATTTATCCAGTAAAAACTATGTAGCTCCACCTTGATTGATTTGCATTACTCATAATTAGGTACTACATAGGGGAATAGGGAAATGGCATGTAGAAGCGGACATATAGACTATCACAGACGAACTATTACATATTAGGTTGAACCGAAAGTTCGTTCGCATCATTTTCAGAAGCTTAATTTCTTTCTCTTTGATAATCTTGAATGGCAAAAGTAGTATTAAGAAGAGAAAAGCGTATACTTTCTAATGGCACGTTGCTTGCTCTTTACTAAGCTTTGTTGCAGAGATAAAATTTTGAGAAGGAAATCACTTCAATTTCGGAAGTTTGAGGCAAGCTCATCAAAAATTTCAAATCTATGCCATAAACTCCAAAACAGGCAGTATCCTGGAGTATTTGACCCCTTTTTCTAGCTGAACAAAATTTGCGCTGATCGAGCTTTCTTTGAAAAGTTGCGATTTTTGAAAAAAAATGTAAAATCAATTTCCTTAAGGAACTGATTTTTTGGCATTTTTTCTCAAAAATCATAACTTTTAAAAAAAAAAGCTCGACTAGCTTGAATTTTGCTTAACGAGAAAAAGGTCAGAGACCTTCATTAGTTGCAAGTTTGGATTTTTTCAACGGGTTTGCTTCAAAATTCCAAAATTGAAGAAGTAATTTTATTTCTCAATTTTATCTCCGCACCTAAAGCGTAGTATTAGGTTCTCCGGAAATTAATGCCCGTTTTGAATTTCAACAGCAATAAGTCATACACTTCTTACTTCTAGATGGGTTGCAAAGTACCATTCGATAGAGCAAAGCAAGCTCTACAAGAAGGCGATCTTGCTTTTGCAACAGCTCTCATCCGCCTTCGAGTTTTGAGCCAAAAACTAGAAAGACTCAGCAGCCCGAAAAATCAAAAAAAAATTGCAACTCAGTTTGAAAAAATCCTCCAAAAATCCTTACTTGCTCACGTGAACACAATCATGAAACGTCTATATACGCCTTTGCCATATTTTTTCCTCTGTTAAAAATTAAGAAAACGGAAATTTTCGTGCATTTGCCAAAGTGATGCTGTGCCGTCCCCACATAGGTAGTTGTATACTACAAACCTGTAGAAATACAAACGTAAATTCTCAGCTCTCTACATGCTTTAGTTCTCGAGAAATTTGAATTTTAGCTTGGGCCACCTAACTAGGAAAAGCTTTATTTGGTATTTTTCGAGAACTAAAGCTTGTTAAGAGCTGAAAATTCAAGTCTGTACTTCTACAGGCTGTGGTACACAGCTACCTATGTGGGGACGGCACAGCATCACTTTGGCAAATGCACGAAAATTTCCGTTGTCTTAATTTCTAACAGAGGAAAAAAATATGGCAAAGGCGTATATAGACGTTTTATGTGGATTGTGTTCACGTGAGCAAGTAAGAATTTTTGGAGGATTTTTTCAAACTGAGTTACGATTTTTTTTTTTTTGATTTTTCGGGCTGCTGAGTCTTTTTAGTTTTTGGCTCAAAACTCGAGGCGGATGAGAGCTGTTGCAAAAGCAAGATCGCCTTCTTGTAGAGCTTGCTTTGCTCTATCGAATGGTACTTTGCAACCCATTTAGAAGTAAGAAGTGTATGATTTATTGCTGTTGCTGTTGTTGCATTAATTTCCGGACAACCTAATAGATAGCAATCAAGGGCCTTTAGAGAACGCATGATTTGTTTTCAATAGAATTTGAGCTATGCAAGAACACCCTAACAGGAAGAAGTAACGATTTTTTGGAAATGGTGCGAACGAACTTTTGGTTCAACCTAATATTTAGGCGCTAGGTACCTTCAACATACAGCTTCAAGATTTGTTTTGGGGATGCATTGGTTTTGCGATCTGTTTTGGTTGGAAGTCAAGATTTACGATGTGGCTGTTCACGAACTATAGAGATTCTATAGATATACAGACTCACAGACAGCTCCTTGTAGAAGTCAACACATTTTTCTCCATAATAAATGGTTGCAAACTGTGTCCATTCGTAATGCATAATGATTTCATAAACTGCTAACGCATAGCTGCAAGTACGCTAGTAAGAGTGATGCCATAAGCCTGTGCTAACTCACTGTCGCCCTGTGGTGGTCATTGTCATAATGGACGAGTAACGTTCCTGCTCGCTGTCGCTTGAGCTTGCCAGACCCCAAGCAAATGTAGGAATGTTGTAGTACGTAGAAAGAGGAGCTACAGCCTGCACTGCTGCAATCAGAATCAGCGTAATTTTACGACTTTCACAAATACAGTGGCAACACACATTGAATGCATCCCGGCCCGATAATTGCGACAACCTGTTGTTTTACTAGCTCAGCGGTGGTACCGGCGCTAAGTATATCCGAACAATTTCCAGGCATGTATATGAATCTACAGAGGTAACACTATGATGGAAGGAATAAAAAGGCAAGCAAGTTGGATTGCAAAAAAAACAAAGGAGAACTTACTTAAGGTCATAATCACTTAAAAGCTGGCGTTGCTTTAGTGCTTCACTTCCAAGTTCCAAAGCGCCAGCGTTTGTTTCGTAGGAGATCGTCTCAGCAAACTCAGGCTTACCTTTACTTATGATCACTCCAATAACCAAGTATTTTCCTTTGCATATGCAAAAGTTTACCTGTAATAGTTTACATAGAGACATTTCCGCAGCAAAACTATTTCCAGACTAATTTCTCCTATCCAATGGTTTTGATAAATGAAAGCAGATCGAGGCGCTACATTTAGTGTCAATTATCGTGAGGCCTCGGGCATATCCCCGCGATTTTAGTCGCTTACGCGATTTCGCGACTTGCTAGACGTCCACAAATCCGTTACTAGCAGACTACATTTGCGTAATATGTGTAACTTTCGTAAACCATTAAAGTATAAATTCATTTGCGTTGTGTTTTCACAGTTGTTTAATAGTAAACAATCGGAGTGTTGAAAAGTCGTCGATTGAAATCGCATGGTTTATCTAACGTCCATAACTTATAAGTGAGAAACAGATCGAAGACAAATTTTAGCTTCTGTTGTTAGGCTCCTTTACGCTGTGCTATTTTCACTTTTGATCCAAAATGAGAACTGTCAATATCAAATCCAACAATTCAGATTTGATTTTATGATTTGAAGGAACAGTAAAATCTGAGTTTTTGATAATATGTAAAGTCTGATATAAAAACCTGTTTGTCCATAGGCTGTCCTAATTTATTTCTCAAACGCTTTTAGTTTCTACTATGAAGAATAACTTACGAGCACCGCACAGAGGCTCAGCAAACGCATCAGTCGAGTATACTGTGAGCAATACTTGCCTCTGAGGTTTCATCTCGAGCTATCCCATACAAGATTAAAACTTTTTACAACTTATTTTTTGAGTTCGGATTTCCCCACTTTTTCGCAAGGCAACTTATCTCACTGATGATATTGCTTGCCTACCGAAGACTTACGACAGTTTTTGAAAAGCATATGGTTTCAAAGCATTTTCTAAATCGGTGTGTAGAGCTTCGAATCCCACAATTCACTGTGCATAATGAATGTAAAGAACTATTCGGATAAGCGCAATTAAAGACATCCATTTTACTGATTCGCTATTTCAGAACGGTAATCTGGTAGGTTATTTGCTTGATTTGAGTCCATCCTGGAATAACTATCTTCTATTTAACACAAGATCGCAAGTCAAGAAGTAGCTACATATCAAAGCAATAATCTCAATAATAAATTTTATGGATTATATTGCGTTAGAAAAGTTTGACACGCAGTGGTAAAGCTTCTGTCTTTTGAGCAGACATTGTGTCAGTTCGGAATTCACACTAATTCTTGTGCTGCTCCTCTACTGAATATTCTTGCACCTGATTTAGTACCTTAAAGCTTGCTCTATGCTTTTCTCTCACAACGTACCAAAATCGCATGTTTACAGTGTAACTCATTGACTGGTTTAGCATCTCAGACCTTGCTTTGTGCTCTTCTCCTTTATCACGGGTGCTAAAAATTATGTTTATAATGTGTGAAGGCACTTTTTAGGTAGCAATTACATTTTTAAGGGCTTTATAATCGTGTTACTTCAAAACTCGTCACCTCCAACTCTATACGTAGGCTATGCTAATAAATAAAGTGAGTCTTAACTTGAGACCTGAAAAATTGTATAAAATTGAGGCAACGGTATAACGATGGAGAGAAAACTGACGTGACTAACTCCATTGCATAGGCTAACTCAACCAGTTATACATGTTTTTTGTTAAAGGTACTTCATCCATTTCTGAGCCACTCATCGTCGATAATTGTGCGCAAGAAGTGTATTAGGTTGGAAAGTAAGTTTGCAACTCCTTCGTTGACTTTCTTTTCTGACATGAGCACTCAAATTTCGGGTTATGACGTAAGTTACAAGCACGGCTACTGTTCTGCCAAATTCAAACGTAGCAGTGACGATTAGGCGGGTTTATGGTATTGAGGAAAGATTATAAGAGTTCACAGACTTGGTTGGAATTTGGCATGGGGGTTTATCCGAGATCATGACAACCATACTAATGATAGCAAGAGCTTTTTTTGTAAGAATCCGTAGGGTTATGTCTAGGGTCTCACCCTAAATAAGAAAAAAATCGTTGATTCAAGAAATGAACATGAATTTGTGCTTGGCGAAACAAACAATCCCACTGTGCGAAGCGCTAAATTTTGATATTCCGACTCCTTAGTCATTGGTGGTTGTCCAAAGCAGCCTTGCGTACAATAACTCGTTCTTTGAGAAGGCGCTAAACCTCGACATGCCTTTGGACCTTATTCCTTTCGTGCTGAGTCAAATAAGTCATCTTCTTGCAGAACTTCCTGCACAGTTTCGGTCACTGTGCAGGTATAGGCTGCTAATGACTTCATCTTGGCTCATGACCCGTCTTTGCAGTTCACTGGTTTTAATGAGAGGCCTGAAAATTATCTAAATCATTTTCAGAATTAAACTCTGTGCGACCATATTTAAAGAAAGTGAAGTTATGAAAGAAGCTGCAAAACTGAGTTTCCAACCTAATATCCCTCTCTAGTTCCAAAGTGGGAGGATTGATTTATGAAGGTAGATCTTCTAATAAAATAGTAATCTCAGATAACTGACCGGAAATTACGCAGAATGTTCGGAAAATATCCGCCGGGTCACCTGCGGAAGTTCCGTAGACGTGCTGCGAAAGTTCCCAAATGAGGTGCTGCGGAAGTTCCAAACAATGCCAACCACAATAGCAAAAGAGAACACCTGAGCGAGATTTAAACCTTACTCTATTGACTGCGAGACTCACCTACTACCCTCTGCACTACGGAGACATGTTCAGAAATGCACTCTAGCTGTTGGCAAGGCAACATCATACGGGAAACCACATTCAAAGCCCTGCGAAAGTACTGGCATGTCAAAGTTCTGCGGAACCGCTGGCATTTTGCGGAAGTTCCGCAGCGCTTTGTACAGTGCTGGCCATAGCTATAAAGCCACCCTAAAAATCACCGTAATTTGCTCTCTCTTGCTCATATTTGTCTGAAAAACCACTATTCTGTGCGCAAACTAACGTCATACCATTGACCAGAACGCCTCCTGATTTCATGGATTCTGGCCGGAGAAAAATTGAAAATTTGAAAAAACGGGTTTCGAAGGCTGGTCACAGCTATAAAGCCACCTCTCATTTTCAATCAGTACTGCGTTTTTTGAATCTCAAATTTTTTGTACACATAGAACATCAAAACATTCAACATTTGTTACACTTGGAAGGGGTCGCCTTTCAAAAAGAAGATTCGTACTGGAATTTTTGCTCTAAAATGCATAATAGGTCACATCATTTGCAAAAAACTGCTTTTTCACTGAATTTTGAAGCACTTGTTTGACTCGGATGAAGGCCCTATGCTTTGCCGAGTTTTTGCAATGAATACGTCGAAAAGCGCTTGAGTTAACATTGCGTAGTCGCTGATATTGATAAACGAGCCCCAACCTCACCTCTAGGTAGACGAGTTTTCGAACCGCAGAAATTGAGTTCTAATGCCCGAAAAGCTCTGTCGCGTGCTCAGCACGTCGCTTGTATAACGACAGACTCGTGTGCATAGCCTGTACGTCATCGCAACTCTGAGGACTCTGGTTCCGCTTTGGACGCCTTTTTTCCAAAAATGAGTGGCGCACTCCGTCTGATCATGATCCACTCTAACCACCTCGATCGAGCGGAAAACCGCTCAGAAGTTCAAAATCCTTCTATTTCTGACAGTTTAGTAAGATTTGAATTGATGAGGAGTTCAAAGCAGTGAAATTTGAAGTCTTGTGAGATACACTGCGCACAACCGAACTGCAGATAAAGCGTTCTAACTTCATTGCGGCAAATAGGTCTTTGCAAAAAAACCTGGCGGCTTCTGTATGAGTACGTCGCCATGCAGACAAGGTGTCAACTTCCAACCAAAAGTTTTCGCGTGTCAGAAATCTAGTTTTGCGCCTCAGAAGCGCGCTTACACCTCGGTAAGATGAGGCTCGTTTACCAAGGTTAGCGACTACGCAATGTTGAGTTCAGCACTCTTCACCTCGTTCAGTGCAAAGGCTAAGCAAATCCTAGGACGTTCATCCGATTCAAACAAGTGCTTCAAAATTTAGTGAAAAAGCAGTTTTTTGCAAATAATGTGAGTTATTATGCAATTTTTTAGCAAAAAATGCAGTACGAATCTTCTTTTTGAAAGGCGACTCCTTTCAAGTGTAAAAATGTTTCATATTTTGATGTTGTATATGTACAAAAAATTTGAGATTTAAAAAACTTAGTACTGATTGAAAATGAGAGGTGGCTTTATAGCTGTGACCAGCCTTCGGAACCCGTTTTTTCAAATTTCTAAAGTTTTCACCGGCCAAAATCCATAAAATTGGGAGCCGTTTTGGTCAATGGTATGACGTTAGTTTGCGCACAAAATAGTGGTTTTTCAGACAATTATGAGCAAGAGAGAGCAAATTACGGTGATTTTTAGGGTGGCTTTATAGCTATGGCCAGCACTGTAGAAAGTCCTGCGTAAGTTCCCGTTTTCAACTGTTTGGCGTGAAAGTCCTGCGGATTCCCATTTTCAACTTTTCGACTTTCGCAATAGTAAACAAAACTGTGCTGAACCGCTAATTTCGCTTGTCCTGCGAAAGTTTTAAATCTTTATCTCAAAATCCACAAATCAGTTTGCTAGCAGTGTGACTATGCGACAGCAGATTAAAGGCTCGGCAGAATGAGAGCTTTGGGATATTCATCATTCTCGGTTCCCCTGGGTGAGTTAAGTCCAAGACTGCGCTTTGCAGCTCCAAAAAATACCAATAACCCGCTTTCCCAGACGTGAAAAGCGCTATTTGGGCGGACTGCGTATCTGCCCTCTAGAGCGCGATTGGCTCGTGGGTACGGTGGGTACAGTATCTCCACTCACGAGCCAATCGCTCTAGAGGGCGGATACGCAGTCCACTCAAATAGCGCTTTTCAGGTTTGGGAAAGCGGGTTATTGATATCTTTTGAAGCTCAAAGCACAGTTTTGGACTTAGCTCATCCAGGGGAACCACCCTCTCCTTCTGTGCCAAATCCCAACCCCGTAGCTCGAGCTTTGCAAAAAATTGATTGAATCGGTAGAAGTAATAGACATCTAAACTGATATTGTATTTGTAATCACCGTGCTTGCTCGCTTACTCCCTGTGCCAACGTCCAGCCCTGTAGCTCAAACTCTGCAAAAAATCGATAAAATCGATAAAAGTAGTGGATAATTCCAAAAAGTAATATTGTATTCGTAATCAGCATGCTCGATTACCTCCCTCCCCCCTCCCCTGTGCCAACATCTGGCCCCGTAGGTCGAACTTTGCAAAAACTCAATGAAAATCGATAAAATTGATGATCGATGACGAAAAACAGCCTACGACACACGCCCCGCCAAGTATATGTGTGCAAAGTTTGGTCTGGATCGGTTCAGAAATGAAATTTTATGTTCGGAACATACGTACAGACATAGTACATACATACAGACAGACAGACAAACAGACATTCAGCTTCATATATAAGATGAATGGCTTGAAAATGTCTTCAGAAAACCATGAGAAAACTTGTGCTCAGCTTGTGCTACACCAGCTGGCTCATTTGACTATCGGTGTCGTCGTCATTGATAAGCCAAAATGTGTTCATCACTCCTTTTCCCTAAAAAGAAAATCATCGCAAACCACATATTACTAAGCAGAGCTTAATTTCACTCACTTTTATCAAGATCTCCCCACGTGGATCCGTTTTAAACTCCGGGAATTCATCTTTGAGTAGTGTTGCAGACTGCTCAGACATATGTATTTTTCCGGCTGAAATCAACTTCCGCTTGTAACTGTTATCATCGCGTACAGTGCGATTTTGTTGTTGGCGTTGACAAGTGTAAAGTCAAAAGAAGGTTTGGGGCTGAGTCGCAAAAATCTGATGTTAGTTTGAACTAGGAAGAATTTACTCGACAAAGAGGGATTTTTCAGTTCAGCCCAACATAAATAACAAGATAATGCTTTTTCAATCACTAAACTCACGTTTTCCATTACTTTCCATTCTACTGGCTGTATTTACAGTATCACCGAACAGACAATACTTTGGCATGGCCAGTCCGACCACACCAGCTACACAAGGGCCTGGAAGATTAATGTTTGGTTGTTTCGTCAATTAACCTTTGATTCAACTGACTTGGCTTCGAGAAGGCGGGGTTGACCTAATTAAGGCTGCTCGCGCCCGCAACGCACCTCTCGGGCGAGTGCTCTCTGACCACTACCTAGCCTTAATTTAGTCACGAAGCCCCGCCTTCCCAAAGCCAAGTTGAATCAAATGGTACGCATTATTGGTTAGCCAAGTCTATTATGTGACAAGGTGCCTTGGATAGGCATATGCAGGGTCAAGCGTGGGGTGCGGCACGCCACACCTGGGGGCTCGTATTGAGGAGTCAAAAGAGGAGGGGGTCGTAGTTGGGTAATCTGATAATAGTGATAACATGATATTTGTATCATATCCATAATTAGCATGTCAATTAACCCCTGTAGACAAAGTGTGAGCGAATTCTGAAGATTCAAGATACTAGGCTACCTAAATGAAATGGTCAAATTCCAACATGGTTAACTTTGTTTCAAAGGTGAATTAGCTATCCGTTTTTGCACTCAAGACAAAGCACTACTTCTTCTTTGTCCAACTCAGGAATCCCGCTTCAGAAGACCTGCAAACTGTGGAATTAGAAGCCAACCAAAATCTCGTTTTTCCCATTTTTCGCTTTTGATCGCTCTGCTTTCACCAAATATTACTCAGAGCTAAGAAGACGAATCAGGCTCCAAACAGTCCTATGGAATCTACAAGGTTTAAGCTATCGATTCATATAAATACTGTCCGCTAAAAATGTATTTTTGATATAGTTAATGGGGTGCGGCACACCCCCTTAAAAGCTGCCGCAGCTTTTAAGGGGGTGTGCCGCACCCCATTAACTTGCTTTCAAAATGCAGAAAGCGCTCCATTGCTGGTATGAGTATTGAGCACATAGCTTCTTCTTGCTACACTGGAAATTTGGAGCCCAACGCCCCACCCATAAGAAAATTATGGCCCTTTCAATATGCCCATTCAGATTAAAATCAGCCGTCATATTACGTGTGATTGTAAAGTGCAGTCACAGAAAATCGGGCGTACAGCTCTCAGAAATCTGAAAACTCTCTAGAAAAAGCTTGTGTCCTCCAGATTGTCACACTTTGAGGTCCAGAGGTTAAGAGGAGGAAGAAGGGGTCGTTTGAGGGCTTTCATGGAAGAGGGGGGGTTGTTTTCGAAAGACTTGTGCCTGACCTCTTTCCAACTCTGGTAATGCTATCTTAGGTATATAGTTCAGGGGGGGGGGCTTTTTAAGACAGGAATCAGGGGGGGGGGGGACCGTAACCAGCGATCGTGTGCCACACCCCTTGCTTGACCCTGGGCATATGACATATACAACTGTGAGCTCATTACGCTTGACTTCAAAGACTTTTTTTTGCTTGTTAAGAGAAGATCAAAAGATTAGTGTACATTGATGTAAGTGTCCATAATCCAGTTTTATACTAAAGTGCAATGGACCATCCGATGAATAAGCCCATACTCGGCATATGTGTTGCGAAAAAATCTTCATAAACCTACCTGTGTGAATACCAATGCGTATCATTATCCGGTATGAAGGCATGTGAGAAATACGAAATTGTTTCAGATCTTTCAGCAATGAAATCGACATCAGACAGATTTCCTTGATATGTTCGTTACCGTTTCGATGAGGTAGTCCAGATACACAAAGATATGCATCGCCGATGGTTTCCACCTGTCATGACTGCCATTATTAGCTTTACCACAATAATATCTTCTTACCTTATACACGTCTCTTTTTTCTATGGTGCTATCAAAGGTCGTGTAAAAATCATTCAGCAAGTCTACTACCTAAAAACTGACGAATCTTTTTCAAGCACACTCAATGAAGGAGCAGTAAGTTCAATTCCATAACATTACTAACAGCAGGGATTTATGTTTGCATACTTCCATCATAAAAACAGTGGACTTCTATCACTTACCTGCATGGGAGTGCACTTTGCGGACAGCTCGGTGAAAGATACGATATCCGAAAAGAAGATACTAACACTATCGAAAGCTTCGGGTATGACTGGATGTCCCTGCCGCAACTTTTCCGCAATTTGTCTTCAAAAAACCGTTACGTTAGATAGTAAGGGCGTCAGATACATTAGAACTTTTATCTCTTATGCCAGTTAGGGTAAAAAGACTGATTGCAAGAAAAGCTAAAAGTGCTTTGCTTTCAAAACCACACCATTTTTGGGATTACACTGCTGCAGTGGTAATTCATTCGATGCGGAGGAGACGAAAACTATCATAGTTCGTCTTACAAGCGAAAGTTCCATATTTACACTGCCTTTTGAAACATGGGACGTTCATTACAAATCTGCTCTCAACAGCTGCAAAGCGCTTGGACTGTGAATATTTCCAAACAAAAATACTGGAGCGCGGCTGCGATAAAGTCATCGGAACTGCAATTTGTTAGCTCTAATGGTCTGAGATTACATCCAAGGCTTTACGCAGTCAGTCGATACCTTCACTCTAATAAACTTACGCTGTCATTGCTACTTCCAGCGCCGAGAAGACCTTAAAACCTGTCTTCACCCAATCGTAAACCAAATCTTAAATTTTTGCCTTAAAAACTTCTCATCACACTCGCCTTTCAGAAGCGCTTTGCAGATACCAAAAGCAGGTTTGGAATCAGCGTTCTATGCTCTGCAGGACTGCATACAATTCATTTGGAAACTCCCTTCAATCAAGCATCCTTTCCTTATTAGGTCCTAGATTAAACATTCATATTCAGAGTTGGAGTAGCGTTAACACATTGACGACAATACGACTCCTGCCATTTCGGACAATACGACCCACCGGTGGGTCGTAAGATTCGTGAAGCGCTATCCTTGCCAGTTTACGACAAAGTTCTACGGGGTTCTGGCACATGATTGGGGGCACTTAGGTGAAGCTCCAGCCAGTGTGGTCCGGGCTCGGGATACTGTAATGTAATGTTACGGTTGGTATACGGTAGATATATATATAAGGCACAAGCTTTATCCCAATTCTTCGCAAAATGATGCTGTTTCTGGAAAATCAAGTTTACATGTAAGAGTAATACGGGGCGGGCAAGAGGCTGACGTTAACTTACCAAAAAATTATCGATTTTATTGATTTTTTGCATATTTCATCCTATGAAGCTCGAACTTTGCATATATAGGTTTTGTAGCATGCTGATTACGAAAATGATAGTCCCAAGTTTTGATACCACCTTCTAACATCAGTTTCTTGCTTTCTACGAATTCTACCGTGTTGCTACCGTAGTCTCACCGTGAGAATGTTGTGAACAGAGTGGACACTATAATCGTGATCAGCACGTGAAACCCAATACGCAAATTTTTGAGAAAATCCATGATGTTGGGCTCGCACAGAATGACTACCGTAACCTTACCGTATGACGCCAAAAACTGAAATAAATCATATTTTGGTAATCAACGCGTTCGATATCCCTTGTGGGGAAATCTCGGATGTCTAAATTTCTTCCAAAAAGATTACCATTTCGGACAATACGACCCACGGGTGGGTCGTAAGTTTGGCAGAGCAAAAAAGGCTCCTGTCCGAAATGGCAGTAATCGAAAAATCGGCCTTGTCGTCAATGTGTTAAAGGCACCGTCCACCCAAGAGTTGTTTCATACTGCCGCACTGACTGCAGCAGACTGCAGCTGACCGCACTGACCGTAACGGCCGCACAATCGCTGCGTCCTTTCGTAAAAGAGAAAATAGTTGCGAATACATCAAAACACCGTGATTTACTTCTGAAAAGTTTGTAGGTTCTGATTTGCTCTTCTCAATCAAATTTTGGCGATTGTTTTTCTTTGATATGCTCATATTTGTTCAGATTCCTATTGTCATTGCATATACCTATTTTACTTCCGCTCGTGTTGTCTACTGGGGCATATATTTTTAAGAGACTGTTTGAGCTACAACTATCTATCCTCCCCACCTTCACAAAGGGATGTAGCGATCTGTGCGGCCCCGCGGTCAATGCGGTCAGCTGCAGTCTGGTGCAGTCTGCTGCGGTCAGTGCGGCAGTCTGAAACAACCCCAAAATCTCGAATTCAATGTTTTTGTCGCCTTCAGGCCTTCTGAAAGCCCTGAATCCGAATATGGAGTAAAAAATCCGCGAAACGCCCAAAAATACCTGTTTCGAGAACCCTCTGCAACAAGCGCAGGCGAGATAAAACATGCAAGTGGGCGCCTACTTTGCTACTTCCAGAGCGAATTTCTCGCTTCAGATGCAGTTTTTGCGGCGAAGCTGGGGGGTTTGCCTATGAATGAGGGCCCACACTAGTATGCCATCATAATCTCGCCAACCTCCATTTCGGGTGGACGGTGCCTTTGATACTATCTTTTACAACTCAGCTTCATGATCTCCAAAATCTGACAAATTTTCATATAACCTGTGGCAAGATTGTTGCAATCTTTAGAACAAGTGATATACGATGTATTGCTATGTAAGTAAATGTACTGGCAAGCTTGAACGCAGCAAAAGTATCTTGTGATAAAACACGAAGGAACTGTAATACAGGTTGACTGGACTGCATCTGGGTGATAATTAGTCTAAAGATGTTTTTTCTTACGATGAAAATCAATTCTCAATCAGTTAATTACATAATCTTGATTGCTTATTCAATTCCAAGAAAACTAGAGTTCTTTTGATAGTTGTTCTAAGCGACTTTAAATTTTAGAAATGACATTGAAAGTTCAGTCATGTTGGAGCTATTTGATCATGAGAAGTTCCCTAACTAAGGTGGGAAGCTTAAGGTTATAACATAATTTTACTTCAACTTTGAATGTTTATAATCTATTCTGCTAAGCGTGAAAGATCTTACTTTGGTAACATGCGACATAGCAAGTTGTCACTTTTCTTCTTTTCATCAACAAGTTCCTTTGTACGAGCTTGAACTTCTTCCTCCAAAGAGTTGGCATATTGCTCCATCAATTTGAAAACGTGGTCCATAAGATTTGCGTTCCTACAACTATGGACTTCGGCAATGCTTTTACGTAGATATATGTGTCAAACCGCGCCCATTTCTTTTATCATGTCACCCGCGAATGCGTCAAAAACCTAACTACTACGAGTCATGCGAATATAGTATAAGAATAAATATCTCATTACCTTTCACCAAAGATTGTTTTCATCGTTCTTCGTACTTCCTGAATTTTTGGCCTAAAATTAGGATACTCTTCCCAGCAGTCTCGCACTAGATGCACCTAAAAGTGACAGCAGACAATCATTTTGATGGAGAAAAGATGAAAAAGAAAAAAGAAGAAATTTTTAGGAACCGTAGTCTTTTGATATACGTTAGTTATCACAAACAGACTTGGAAATATGATAAACTTTGCTTGCTATTTGCGCAACAGTCTCAAAAAATTATGAATGGCGTTTTTCTTGATGGATGAGAGTTTGCACACGTATAAAAACAACAAGCCGTGAAGGTGGCAGAAGTTCTAGTAATACTCATAGTCATTGCACAAAGGCTACCGCCGTTTTCAAATTCGTAAAACTTGTACTCTGCAAAATTGTAAACTTCGAGAAGGAATGCCGCTCATGTTCCTTACATCAGAACTATTTGCAGCGCATCCAACCAGGGCACGGCATAGGTGGCTTAGTAAGCAAGCTGAGTATCGTTTTTGGGGAAAAAGCAAAGGGGATATCGTTTTTGCGGAAGAGAATAACGTTGTCTGTCGATCTGCGGCCGGCACGCTGCCGGCATGCCGCCAGCAAATAAACAAAAGGTTTGTTTACAGCGAAGGGAAGATGAAATGACACCAAAATAGGTGTGTAGATGGGCAATGGGGAGTTAGAACTAAGTATGAAAAATTATGAAAAAATTATGTGAACTAAAGGCGTGCTCAACTTTTTTCGGAGTTAGGTGGCTTTCAAGCCACCTGGATAGCCACCTGAGGTGGCTTAGGAAAGAAAAAGTCATAAATTTTTCCTCCCTCACATAATTTTTCCACTTTCTTTACATACTTTTCATCTACATCCCGAACCCTACAAACTGGTTCCTAAACCGCCTCAAAACCCCTTCTCCCCGCTTAGTTATAGCCCCTTGAAAATTTTGAATGGTTGCGGAAAGGCTGCTCTAAGCGCGTATTGCTGCACGATGGATACATCGTGCCGCCATTCCGGAGAATCTTATATATAAAGTTGAATGTCTGTCTGTATGTATGTCTGTCTGTACGTATGTGCGGAATAGAAATTTTTATTTCTGGACCGATTTGGACCAAACTTAGCACACATATACTTCGGGGCAGGGAGCGTGTCATAGGCTACTTTTCGTTATCGATCGATGTCGATTTTATCGATTTTTTGCAAAATTTGAGCTAGGGGGCTGGGATTTTGCACAGGGGGGTAATCGAGCATGCTGATCACCCCGGAGGGGCAAAGTTTGGTCCCGGGCGGAGCCGGGTTTGCCATCTAGTATGAATATAATTGCGTGTGTTCGATGATTCTTTTTCGTTTTTTTTCTGCTGTTGCTTTGTTCCGTTCCTTTTCATGTATTTTCTCTTCATACATCTCGTGACGGATGTCGTAATTTCATTGAAGTCAAAAGGGACTTCATTTTTTGCAATTTCGGGACGCCACCTCGTGCCGCGTCCTGGTTTAGGGTCAAAGGGGACTTCGTAAAAATTCGCAAAAGTCAAGGGGGACTTCGTTTTTTGCATTTTCAACTAGCCACCTCGTGCCGAGCCCTGCATCCAACTTAGATTGGGCTTTCAGATAGAAAGAAATCAGCTTGCTTATACGCTGAGTCCAAATATGCTGTTTCTATAGCCAAGACAGGAGTCATGGTACTTGCAAGTGTGTGGCACGCCTTTTTGATTATTCTGATAGTGACTCATCACAGGCTCATTATCTATTACGAATCGGAAAATACAATCTACCCTAAAATCCCGCCAATAAGTCCGGACTTATCTGCATTTTTTGACACGAAAAGTTGATAGAAAATCGCCCTTTGCGCTGCCAGAAGTCTAGCAGATCTGCTGCGTCTGATGGGAGGATTCATCTGCTGGACTTCTGGCAGCGCAGAGGGCGATTTTTTATCAATTTTTCGTGTCAAAGAAATGCAGATAATTCCGGACTTATTGGCGGAATTTTAGGGTACCTAATTCCTTCCATGCAGAAAATTGGCGCAAGTGGCAAATCTAAATTTTGTCAAAGTCGAAGTTCTCACCAAATCCGGCTTGATGTCTAAGTGGGGGTCTGGATTGAGAGCAGGTCTCACGATTCTTCTCCCTCCTTTCTTCAGCAGATACAAAATGTCTAAATAATGAACAATAGCCGTTCTGAAATCTGTTGTCAACTAGTGCTTTTTAAAAAGGTATTATTTTAAGCGATTTTCAGAAGTATGGTGCGGTGACGGCTCTATAAATGCGCTAAAACATAAATGTACTTCAAGAGTGAGTGAAGATAAGCAGTGAAATGAGATTACCTGCTGCGTCTTCTTGTGAATTTTCCAAATTCCATGCACTTGAACCTCTGATGAGCTCCGCACATATGATGGCAAAACTGTAGATATCGCCCTCTTTAGTTCCACCTGGCAGCGGTACTCGCAACAGCTCCGGAGCAGTGTATAGCTTGTCTTAAAAAGTATTCCCTGGTTTTTTCTGATCAGTAATGCTCTGTTCACACTTCAATTCATTTTCATTAGGAAAGACAACAATCTTAAGTTGTTGATCTTGGCATGCACCAAAAAATTGCGGATGTCAAAGGCTCATTTTTAAGCCATGCGCAGCAGATTCACTCTGCTACAATACCGCTCATGATTCGTCAAAAAAGTCGCCGGATTGCGGCAGACTCCGCCGGAGTGCGGCAGAGTGCGCCACACTCCACTAGAGTCCGTCGGAATGATCGTCACATCGCCATATCTCGCTTCAGAATGGACGAATTTATCCGAGGACACCGTTCGATTCAGCTCGGCCAGACGCATCATCTTATATATGGAGCTGAACGTCTGTTTGTCTGTTTGTCTGTACGTACGTCCCGAATAGAAAATTCCATTTCTGAACCGATCCGGACCAAACTTGGCACACATACACTTCGGGCCCGGGCGGGTGTCATAGGCTACTTTTCGTCATCGATCGATATCGATTTTATCGATTTTTATCGATTTTTTTCAGAGTTCACCTACGGGGCCGGGAGTTGGCGCAGGGGGGGGGGGGGGGGTAAGTGAGCATGGGGATTCCGAATACAATATTAGTTTGCAGAATTATCGATTACTTTTATCGATTTCTATTGATTTTTTGCAGAGTTCACCTACGGGGCTGGGAGTTGGCACAGGGGGAGGGTAGTGAGCATGGGGATTCCGAATACAATATTAGTTTGCAGAATTATCGATTATTATTGTTGAATTTAGTGTGCTGATAACAGTATTACCATTGATCTGTCGCTGATGACACATAGAGTATACTATAGGAGTATGGTAGAGAGCCACTCTGATCGAATTTGTTCTAAGCTCTGCTCAAGACCACAATACCGCTCACAGAATGTCAAAATTTCCGTGAACTTCGCGGAATTCCGTGATTTCCGCCAGAGTGCGCAAACCTGTAAATTCCTTCGGAATGAATATATTCCGGATCCAGAAGCAGCATTGTGTTCAGATCGTCGAGACAAATATTTTGATATACACTATGCTCTCAATATTCCGTTTCCAGTTTTTTTTTTCGAATTTTTTCTGTGGAGGTCCTTTCGCAAGGATGTAACGCAGCGTCTGTGGATCGCAAGGATGTAACGCAGCGTCTGTGGAACATAAAAGATTCCAGTAAGCACTGTTCGATAGTACTGTCCTTGTAGGTTATCGTGCGTTCAAGAGTAGCTGCAAACTGTCTTCCAAAAGAGATAGAAGCGTTGGTGAATTTTGGAAAAATCAATGTTTCTAAATTTTACTCGCCGTAACTTCCTTCGGAATAAACATATTCTGAATCCGAAGAAAGCTATATGCTCAGTTCATCAAGGCAAGTCTTTCGATCTAGAGCATGTCCTTGATATTCCGATTTCAATATTCTCAAATCTTTCTGTAGACGTAGCCAAGGTGTAAAGCAGCGCGCATTGCCCCTAGTAGACTCCAGAAGGACCTTTTGATAGTACTTTTTTTTGTAGATTACGTAGCGCTTAAAATAGTCACAGGCATCTTTCCAATGGAGGTAGAAAGGCTGGTAAATCGTAAAAAAAACTTGTTGTCCCAAACTCTACTCGTCGCAAACCTAGAATACGAGGCTATCTTGCTAAGCAGATGTGAGTTTTGTAATCACCAGTTCGGATAACCCTTATGAACAAGTTTTCCGAGATGCTCGGGTGACTTCATTTTTTCTTGTTTTACCCTCTGAAGCTGGCCGGTGGATTTTGGTCAAATGTTGATGATCTTGAATTGTAAAGAAACTCCGCTCATAAAGGTTTTCGAACACGCTGCTTATGAAAACCGTGTTCTCTATCAAGTAAAGGTCTTTTTGCAGAGATATGGTGAGATAACTGCAACGGATTCACGAAAGCTCGTAACTTCGCCTACACCTCTCACGTATCTGTCAGAAAACCTGCCTGCTTGCTTTTCTATGTCAAAGTTACTAGGGGATGTGCTATCGAATGGTGCATGACTCAGGCTTAAGTCTATAAAATTTGCCGAGTTACGAGCCTACGAAAACACGTTCTCATGAGTTTTGCCCAAAATGTAAAGATCGCAAACTTCGTCGAAATTCCACCGTGAGTGCTTGCACAACACGCTGGTCAAATCCTTCCACATTTTTCCACATCAACTCTTTTGCAAAATCAAATGTTGAGAAAAAACTTACGTGATATGTCATCATTATTTTCCTCTCGGTAACCTAACACAGCCATACCATAATCACTTATTTTGACTTGCCAGCGCGAATCCACAAAACAACAAGAGGAAGTCAATGATCCATGTTTTTCCAAAAATGAGTTGTGAATGAAATGAAGGCCCTAGAAAATTTTCATCA